TGTGTGTGTGTGTGTGTGTGTGTGTGTGTGTGTGTGTGTGTGTTATCCCGCTCTATGCGTGTGTGTATTATCCATAGACTGTAGTCTAGTTTTATCCCGCTCTGTGTGTGCGTTATCCCGCTCTATGGGCGTGTGTGCTCCGCTCAGTCGCTCGCGGCCCATGTGACTGCTCCATTCATATACCGTTCATGCTCATCGGAACAGTCATGATGTGTCCCACGTCAAGTCATTTTTCTATCCATACCAAATTTTCAACCAATCAGAACATAACATCTTTAATATGCAGTTGTGGAGGAAGGTTTTGGACCAATGAAATTTCACAGTGGGTGGAGCTACTAGTCACAGTGCAATAGAAATAGAAACCAGAACTGGCCTTGTTTTGGGTTCATGACTGCATCTTTTTTTGTTTGGATAGGAAAAAATGTTTTTACTCAATTTTCAGTGTAATCGACTGCTCAAATAAGAAATACAAATTCATAAATCTTTAAATCTGTCATAGGCCCACCTATATAAAACATTATCTGAAGTCAGAGGGCTTTTAGAGTAGTTTTCAGTTAAAAAAAAAAACAGTTTACAATGATATTAATCAAAATATAAAAATAAATTTTTGCTTATTTTGCCTGTCACTAGATGCTTCATCACGCCAGTCTCGGTTAGGACATCTGTTACTCAGTGTAATTTACAGGGTTCTGCGGCCGTCCACAGTTTTTGTCATGTTTGACAGTCTTAGGCTTTGTTTATGCTGCACACATCAAATTTGGTTTTCAAATATGATCTTCAGGAGTGACTGTCCGCACTTTTCATTTTTCACATGTGGATGTGGTTTGGACTGGGTTAGTAAACATCAGATTTCTTTCTTTTTTTTTATGCAGACAAAAAAAAACACCTAAACAAATTTGAAATGGATACGTTTTCCTGCCTATCTAAATAAAGCCATATTGTTTGTTTTGGTCATCAAATCAGATTTCTCCATCTATTAATGGGATGCATTAATGAAAATATGATGAGGCACTTTATGTATGCGTGTGTGTAGTTTGTATTAAATTGTATATTGTATTAAATTGGTTGAAAAACATAATATATTTGTTATATTTCTAATTGAAGAAAAAAATATATAAATAAATAAATACACGTGTGTGTGTGTGTGTGTGTGCGCGCGTTGTGGGAAAAATGGCATTCAGCCTAAACTAACTTATTTAATATGAAACTGACAATACCAGCAAAACAAATAAATTTGTTTTTTATTTTATATATATATATATATATATATATATAAAATTGTAATTATAAGTACAATGTAATTTGATTTTGCATAGTTTTAGAGTTATATATAAGGGTGCTCCAAACAGGATTTTTAGACATTTATTCAGGGGGTCTGAATTTCATTTTTGAAAATGAATTCCCCTCTTAGGTGACTCTTGTGAGAGGGGATTTTTTATCCCCTGAGGGGTGGAGGGGAGCATTTTTTTAGACATTTTTCAAAAATATATTTCTCTCACCTAAATGTTCGATTATGCAGTGCATAATTGTACTTGTGCAATTGTTGCACAATAAGCAACAGCACAGTTGCTCAAGCAAGTGGCAAAACATTTAAAATACTTTTGCATTTATGGTGTACGTTTTCATATTTACCGCAAATAATGAGCTGTCACTTTAATTCAGCGCTTGCCGCAAACTCGGTGTAGAATCAATCGCTGCACTGCTGCAAACCGCTCCTGGGACGTACTGCTGGACCGGAACCATTTAAAATCCGTTAACATGAGCGTGGAAAAAATACGCACTGCATATTGTGCATTTTGAGAGCGAAAGAGAGAGCACGCGCAGTGATTCACTCATGCGGTTTGTGAAATTGTCTCACAGAAAGTTTTCAAATTACTTTATAAGTTATTTAATGAAGAAATATGAAGTGTACCTCACCTTCAGCATTATAATTATTTCACCTGCGCGGGACTGAGACGGTGCGGCTGCATGTCGTGCCAAACATCTGACGGCAGGCACGTCATCAGCTTGAGATTGGTTTATGAGATCGGCTTTATAGAGACCACCGATCAAACATCCTAAAGCGATTATCGGCCGATAGTGATCGGTAGCCGATCAATCGGAGCACCCCTAGTTATATATAGTATAAAACTCATTTAAAGCACATTTGCTAAGTGTTATCAGACCTTTCATCCTCTAGATAACGTGTTACACAGAGTAATGTAAATGGCAGACGCTGTGCATGCATCTGAAGGCAGCTTTCTATTTTGGTCTCCCTTAGAAAGAGCACAAACCCAGCCAAGCGCACTAAACCCAAATGTGTATCGGCTACTGTCAGGAATGTGCTAAAACAAGCCCAAAGGCCTGTGGGGGACTAAGGTCTAACAGGAAGTGGTCAGAGCCATTATGAGGCTGTAGATATGAAGCACAGTTTGAGGGCCCTACAGAGATGGACATGCTGTGTTTGAATTACTAGTGTATACTGTGTGGTGTATATAAAGCGTACTACCTACTGTTTTGTAAAAATATGAAGCCGTGTACATCTAAAATATGTTTAAACGGTACTAAACTGTTTGTTTTTTCCAATTTCTGACAGAAAAGCATCAGATGTCCTTTTAACTTGCATAGTGTTGCAAAAAACGCCTTAATTGCAGAATTCTTATTCTTGACTGATGTGTTTGAGGCAGAATTGCGTCATGCATTACAGATGAACTTTGAGTGTTTGTTTATCTGAGAGCTCTTATCTGGTCTTGCGTTAGGGATGTTTGGTTTATCTTAATGTTTATGCTTCTGTTTGTCTGTCTCAGAAGAGAAGCCTGTCGGGTTCAGGTTGAAACCTCCCACGCTAATTCATGGCCAGGCCCCAAGCGCAGGTAAGATCAATTCATTCCTGCTTTGAACCTTTTACTGCATCTACACACACAAATGCAACACATGAATCTGCTCTTTAGAGCAGGAAAGATTAGGGAAATTAGTCACAGTGGGTCTGACTGTAAAGCTTCCTCTTTCAGTACTTTTTTAAAAAGTCATCTTGTGCATTTGAAAGATTAGGGATGCACCGAAATGAAACTTCTTCTCAAATTTATTGATTTATATTTTTAATTAGCTTTGTATTCTTTTTTTTTTTCTTCATTTTCGTAATTTATGAGCTTTTGTCCTTTTTTTTTTATTAGTTTTTAAAATTTCAGGTTTAGCTTTAATTTTTTATTTTAGTTTTAGTAATTTAGTTTACATTTTTAATCTAAAATTTTTGACTTTATTTGTGTTTTATTTCAATTATGGAAGACATTTTTTTAACAATTATTTTAAAATGTATCATTCATTTAATTATAGTTAAAGATTATTAGTTTTAGTTAACTATAACAGCACAAACTTAGAAAGCTTTTCCGTATTTTAGAACATCCCATTGCATGAGAATTACAATTAAGGCTTTTTATTTGATTATCATTATTGGTGTGTGCTGTTATGCTGCGCGGCGTTTGGTTTCTGATTCAATCCGTTAGTAGGTTGTTTTCCAGGCGTTCCAAGTCAGAAGCCCAAAGAACAGCAGCGCAGTGTTCTGAGGCCAGCTGTTCTACAGGCGCCTCCGGCCAAAACCCTCACAGAATCCATCAAGACCAGTACGTACATCTCCCATAATGCTCACTGCTGCCTTTCACAGCAACAGAATCTGTGGAGGTCTCGGACTGTACTGTAGAGAACCACATTTCAGGCTTTTTTTTGTGTTGAGAACAACAGATGTGTAAATCTAAGTCAAAACCGATTTTTTTCTCTTTTATATATATATATATATATATTTCTGAGACCTAATAATTTTACTTATTTTTGAATACACATTGTTATTATTAATAGTAATATTATTACTGTATTAGATTTTTTTGTATAATACTTCAATAGTAAAAAGTTACTCTTTGTATACTACTTTTTGTACTACTTTTTCAAAGATTGAATTGGACAAAAGGTTTTCTTCCTTGATCTACAGATGGTCTTGTCAACAGAAAATATTGTCAGTATAGCATTTTGAGTGAATGTTGTGGGGAATAAGTGTTTATTTCAGCAGTTTTTCCCATATTCGTCATTATTATTCCTATGTATCAGCATTATATCGGCCATCAGTCACCTTGCTCTTTAGATATATTATGACGCTTTTCCACTGCATGGTACGGCTCGGTATGGTTCACTTTTTGGGGGGGTTTCCACTTGGTACAGTACCTGGTACTTTTTTTAGTACCACCTCGGTTGGGGTTCCAAGTGAACCGTACCGTTACCAAAACGTGACGTGTAAACTCTGCTGATCACAGATTGGCAGGAGAGAATCGTCACTGCCTGCGTCACTGAACTTGGGACACAAACACAAAAGAACCGCTAGATTTAAATCAGCACAGCCAGCGAAGGATCGAGCGCACCTTTTTTTAACAACCAAAAAGTTTTGTTGTCTGTTGCGGAAGAACAGACGTTCCTCTCGTTGATGGCAGAGGAGCGGATCCAGCGAGAGCTTGATAGGGCGATGCGGAATGAAAACATTTTTTAGGAGTCGTGGTAGTAGAGGCGGCGCAACTATAACGTCATGTGAATAATCCCGCCCACTCTAAAGCAGTACTGAACTGCAGTGGAAACGCAAACCGTACCGAGCCAAGTCGTACCACGCAGTGGAAAAGCGCCTTTAGTGTCAACTAGATGAGGTTTGGGGTGACCACTAGTATTCATGACTCAGAGCCGTATTATCCCGAGCTAGAAACGTGTGTTGATAGTGTGATGCTGTTAGTTTATGCCAATGTTTTCGCTCGCAGACTCCAGCTGTGGAACAAATGGAGTGGGGAAGTTTGGAGATTCATCATCAGAGAGCCGATCCGTTTTCCTGAACAACACAGAGAGCTCGGACAAATCACCGGTGAGGACATACGGCACAAACATCTGAGATGGAAACGCTTGATAAATAAACCACAACTAATTACATCCTGTTTAGAGCCTCTCGTAAATATCAGCATCACCTGTAATCATTGCTCATGGATGAGATGATCTGGGTGCTTAGTAATTCATAACTGATGACTAATACATATGACTGTAGGAAATTACAGACAATCTGATCTAGTTCCAGCATTAATGCAGGTTCATTCGAGAGTTAATCGTTTTAGTTTTAAGCAGCAGTAATGTGGTATAATTGTGCTGAACGGTGACATTTTCATTGATTTATGAAATGTTTACTATGAGGTTTTACTGAATGTGACACAAATATTTGTAAATCTATAAATCAAGTTGTAATCTCAAATCTTAGAAAATATCATCCAAGACATTATTGGGAAATATAGAGTGACAACTGATATTTATATACAGTGGTGTGAAAAAGTGTTGGCCCCTTCCTGATTTCTTATTTTTTTTGCATGTTTGTCACACTTTAATGTTTCAGATCATCAAACTAATTTAAATATTAGTCAAAGATAACACAAGTGTAAACAACATGCAGTTTTTAAATGAAGGTTTTTATTATTAAGGGAAAACAAAATCCAAAACTACATGGCCCTGTGTGAAGAAGTGTTTGCCCCCGTTAAAACTGTGGTTTATCACACCTGAGTTCAATTTCTCTAGCCACACCCAGGCCTGATTACTGCCACATTTGTTATCTTTGACTAATATTTAAATTTTTTTGATGATCTGAAACATTACAGTATGACAAACATGCAAAAACATAAGAAATCAGGAAGGGGGCCAACACTTTTTCACACCACTGTCGTTGTATTAAATAATGCAATGGTGAAATTGTGCACGTTGCATTCCCAGATGAATGTTATAATAAACCCAAACCCCAACAGCAATATGCAAAGATGGAGTTTGAGGAGCTCCCCATATGTAAATGATAACAGTTTGTGTGGAGCAGCATTTACTGTGAACGGAGCCGCTCTGACATGCACGCACGTAACCTACACGCATGTAAATAATTAAAGCGCATATATTAAACCTGCATCGCATATATTGATTTAATTGAATGGTAGCATTTGTGAATTCACAATAGCATTATGCTTTATTTTTTAATGGGTTTAATCTATCATGCAGCCTTTAAAAAAACGGTCTAATAATGTGTTTCATGGATTCTCGTCCATGAAATGTGCCATTTCCAGTATTATTATATTTATTATATATACTTATTATATTTAGCCGATTACTCGACACAGGCAAAATGAAATCAAAGCGTTTTTCAAATCGAGTACTCTAATAGAATCAAGGAATCATGACAGCCCCAATATGAAGTCTTGTTTTCTGAGAAATTGAACAAAATTAAGTTTATGCTTAAACAAATATCTGTAAATTACATATGAAAACTTCTCTTTGAATTAAGTAGATTTTTCTGAATCTTCAGAAATTTTATCTTGTTTTAATCATAAACTCACTTTATTTTCAGCAATTTATCATAAAACGGAAGACTTTTTATTATCATAAATGCATCTTGATTTAAGAATCTTTAGACCTTTGCACTGGAAAACGACAAAAATACTGATGAAGAACATCACTTTTTTTCACTCAGAGTTATTTATATATTTTAACAGAGCTATTCAGAACAATTTATTTTATTAGTCATTAATTCTTTTGTAAAATAAAAATAATGGAAGCCTATTGGATTTTTTATTTTTTTTTACTTTGAAGCGTTGCTCATTTAAAGACCATATTCAAAAGACATTCAGATTTTTCTTAAATTTTCTTTTATTGTTCTTAAAAAGGTCTTGATGATCCTTCATAAAACTGGCATAAACTCTCATACTATATGAGCCACAAAAGCCTGATGTATCCGACATAATACTCAAAAAATACTTGTTACTAAAAGCCCATCGACTTCGTCGTCGGATCTGCATTAATTTGAGTTCCTTTGCAGAAGCGGGAGAAGGAAGGAGAAGAAAATGGAGGTGGACAGAAAGACGACTGCAGTGAAAAGAAGGATAGTGCGGTGGACTCATCGTTTGTGTTCGGGCAGAATATCAAAGAGCGAGCGAAGGTCAGCGCTGACTCACTGCTGCATTTGTCTCATTCTTTATTCCTTTATACTCATTCTTAAGTTCCCAAGGAGTGTTTGTGTTTATTCTCCGATTCTGGTACTGTGTTTTTCTTGAGCAGTTGGATGAAAACAACACGTCCAGTGACTCAAAAGACTCCACACGAGATTCTCAGTCTGGCAGCACCAATTATTTCTTACAGTACATGGGCAGCGCTAGGTAACGGTTCAATAGAGCCATGCGAATCTGTTCGCTCTCTCTGGCCCGGCTTCTACATCCTGTAAATCTGCTTCTGTTTGCTTTTGCAGCTCCAACAATGCCACCAACAGCTCAGATAAAGGCTCCAAGTTTGTTTTTGGCCAGAACATGTTTGAGAGAGTTCTGGTGAGTGTATAGGATGACTGGTTTTGGACAACCGATGCATTTTTTTTGTCCCATTTATTTTTTTTGTACAGACTGTTCAATTTTTAAATGTAGCATATGAAGGAATAATTTCCCCAAAAATAAAAATCATTTACTCCTGATCTTGTTTTACCTCAAAAAGAAGTTTAGTAGAAAATCCCAGCTGCTCTTTTTCATACAGTTCAAGTAGGAAGTGACTCCAAAAAGTTTATTGTGCCTCCTTGATGGAAAAGAACAGACAATAACCTATTTGGTTTACAATAAACTATTTCTTAAAACATTTCAGCAGACAACAGTAAAAAGACAGTAAATGGATGTTCAGAGGTGTATAAAGAGAGTTTTGTGCGAACTCTTTCAGAGCCCCCCAAAAGGAGGCGAGGTGTCAGTCGAGGCCAGTAAAGACAGTTCAGCTCCAGCATCTGAGCCGTCATCACAAGAGGCCACACCTGAGAAAAGTAGGTGCACAACATTTCTCACAGTGTATGTGTGTGTGTGTGTGTGTATATATATATATATATATATATATATATATATATATATATTCTCGAATCGTTCAGTTTGTAATGCGTACCAAACCGAAAGCCTCGTACCGAACGGTCGAACGGTAATACGTAAATATAATTTTTATATATTAAAATAAATTCAAATTCATTTAAAATAACCAAAGTAATTTAAACATTTAAAAATTAATTAATTAAAAATGTAAAAAGTGAATGAATATAAAAGATAAATGAAATATAACCTTGAAATTAAATTTGATAAATATTACAAATTAAGCTTATGGGTAGATAGATGGATTTATGTATTTTTTTATTTGTCTCCATGGTCATGTTTTTCAAATTGGTTGTTGTTTTGATGCTTTGTTCTGGTTGGCTGTGATTTGTGTTCCTTAGTATGACATTTCGTTTTCAGTGAGTTGATAATTGATGCTAAGAACATGATGCTGACTCCTAATTGCATGTTGTATCTCTTGACATTGGTCATACCAGAATCACACTTTGATTGTTTGGCTTATTGAATATTAATTATGTGACTGGATGCTCTAGGATTATCAGTGTCGTCACGCCATAATTAATATTTTGAGCTAAGCATTCACCATAATAGGCATGTTTGCTACAATCGGTTCATCCTGAGCAGTTGAAATTATGCTTTTCTCCCTGTGTGTATGTCAGATCACAGTGTAACCGAGTCTCTGGAAGAGTCGGCAGCCGCGTACACCAAAGCCACTGCCAAGAAGTGCATTCTGGAGAAAGTAGAGGTCCGCACAGGAGAGGAGGCGGAGAGCAACGTGTTACAGGTGAGACGACATTCAGCATAGCAGTCAGTGTCGCCACAGCAAAAGCACTGGAGAACGTTCTGGGTTCAGAACAAAATCTGTAAACAACATCTGCCGCAGCTTTTGCTTACCTCAGAAAGTGATCTCAACTCATCATTCATAAAAGAAATGTTTCTTGAGCAGCAAATCAGCATATTAGAATGATGATAGTTTCTGAAGGATCATGTGACACTGAAGACTGGAGTAATGATGCTGAAAATACAGCTGCGCATCACAGGAATGAATTATATTTTACAGTATATTCACATAGAAACGGCTATTTTAAATTGTAATAATATTTGACAGTTTTTACTGTATTTTTGATTAAGTAAATGCAGCCTTGCCGAACAGAAGAAACCTCTTTCAAAACAAACAAAAACTTTTTTAATTATTCCAAACCCTTTTTTTTTTTCTTCTATCACACTAGTCTCATGTTAACCAGTAATGTTTCGGGTTCAGTGCAAATTAAGCTCAATCAACAGCTTTTGTGGCATAATTTTGATCATCGTAAAAACAAAAAATGAATCCTACTTGTTTCTCATTTCCCTTTTTTGAAATCAAAATAGGTCACCTATGAGATTTACTTAGATCCAATGAGAAAGTGTTTGGGTATTTAAGACTGTTTAAACTAGACTTAAAGTTAGTCATCTAATTTTTTTTTCTTCAAGACTGGTTATAACTTTTTTTTATTCAGTTTGTATAGTACTATTTACTTCAAAATCTGACTATTTTATGTATTGGGGTCTGAGATGTGGGAACGGTGAAGAGAGAGGGCAAACATTTTTGCATTTTAGGTCAGCATTGCCGTCTAATCAGCCAATATTGTCTTAAATAGACAGCTCTGCATAGCACTTCATCTTTTATAACATGGGATTTTTACCAAATATATTCAATCTTGATTTTTGTCAAATGTTGCAACAAGATGTTAAAGGTCCCATGACATGCTGCTTTTTAGATGCTTTTATATAGGCCTAAGTGGTCCCTTGTACTGTATCTGAAGTCTCTTTCCCGAAATGCAGCCTTGGTGCAGAATTTCAGCCACTATGAGCCAGTCCCACAATGAGCTTTCCTTAGGACGTGCCATTTCTGTGTCTGTAGCTTTAAATGCTAATGAGGAGGAGAGAGGCGGGGCAACTGCCATGCTTCGCTTGTTTGCAAGCCATGATGTCTCGAGGAAAAAAAAATATTGCGCTCGCCTCGCACGGTAGTAGCTCATTTTCTCATGGGTGGGCCAAATTCTCTGGGCGGGCAAAGCAGAGAAAGGGGAGGTAACCTTTCCCCATATGACGACATAAAGGGAAGATTCCAGATTGGGCCATCTGAGCTTTCATTTTCTCAAAGGCGAAGCAGGATACCCAGGGCGCGGTTTACACCTATCGCCATTTCTAGCCACTGGGGGACCATAGGCAG